GTCAATGGTATTGTAGCCCATGCGTAAATACTACAACCAAGCAGTAGCTTGTATTTCAATGGAATCATTCTGGAATGCACCACCAAGAGGATGCCGACGAGCCATCGTTTGCGTTGCTGCACATAATCCAGCAAAGTAAATGGCGACTTTTCGTGCATTTCACCCTCGATGAAATCGAATGTGAATCCTTGTCTGAATGCCCGCATCGCAAAGAAACAATCCTCGGCCACCGAACCATCGATTCCGTTGTCGAATGACACTTGCTTTTCGGCTTGATACTGTTTTTGAACATTGAACATTGAACAACATTTTCAATCAATTTTCAAAGAAAGACTACCAGCTTTGCCCTATTTGAACTTTTCATGATATTTGTACGTGAAATTTATAAGTCCATCTATTGAAAAAACCCAAAATCAATGAAAGTTCAAAGTTTTTCATAGATTATCTATGGTATTTACATGTGACACATACAGCGCCATCTATTGAAAAAAGTCACAATCGTGTCAAGTTGAAATAAGGCAAAATAACCCAGAAAATGGTTGTCATTCTTTGAAGAAACAAAAAGTGCCCAAATGTCAAAGCACTCACTTGAGTCACAACGTACGATCCTTTCCAACTGAACAATGGCTTGTGGAAGAATTTAAATTGAAAACGCAATTTTCCCATGTCATCACTTACACGGAAACTGTCGGATAGTGTTGTGAGCCAATTTACAACCTTCTCATTGGCATACTGGAAAACGAATAATGTGTAAATTATTTTATGGCAGATTTAGTCACTTTACTCAATGTCAATTGAATAACTGAATTCAGTTGAATCCAAATCCCCCGCAAATTGACATGGTAATTTTGTTCGAGCGAAATTGAACTGTTAAGCGTCGCTTACCGTGATTAATCCTTGTCCGAATGGATGTTTTCCATCCAGAACAAAGTTGATGATACCGCGTACACTGTTCTCCGTCAACAGTGTCTCTTCATCCAAGTGGACAATCCAATCGGTGCTGTTAAGTACATTGACATGATCCTCGAGACAATATTGTAGCGCACGCGATTTGTACAGTGCCCCAGTTCTTGTTTGATAGTCTAATGGCACAACGACCTCACGAATGCCTCCATGGCTTGGATGTTTTGGCAAGTTGATTGGTTTATCGGTGACCACTTCTATATGGAAATTTTCGAGGCCAACATCCAGACATGTGTTAATGTTTCGTGCTACATTCGCTCGTACCAAGTGTGGAAAATCACCCCGTGTCACAACTCGTATGCATATGAACGGTGCCAACAGTGGACTTCCCTTGAGCACAACTTTGTCCGGAAACGCATTGTAAAATACTAGACCGCAAAAGTTGAACAATACTTGTGGTATAGTCAGGAATGTTAGGAATCTCAACGAATACAATATGGTTGTGAGAATCAGGCCATATTCCGTCCACGGATCGAACGAAATGTTCAAGACGTCTGGTGAATTGTTCAAGAATATAGTAATCAAAGTAAAAAACAATATGCAATGTAGTACATGTTTGTACGTCGAACTCAGCATGCTGATTAAATTCCTTTCAAAGATCCTTTGTTGCTTCGAAAGTAAAAAAATGCTGTTGATGAACGTGAATGGAAATGATTTGGGAATAAAATTCAATAGCTCACCTAACAAAGAATCGACAACACGGCAATTTAGAATGAAATTGATTTACTTTGGGTGTTGTCATTTGCCAAAATTTTGTACTATTTCATAAAATAAATATCTTATCACCAACGTTGTTATCATTCACTTTCATTCCATTTCCTATCAACTTATCGATCGTAATCCAATTGATACGGCCAATGAACGAAAAAAGTTGGTCAACGAATGAAACCAATTCACTCACATATTAGTTGTTTTTGGTAATGGATCTCCTTATCAGAGCATAGTCCAACAAACGCTTTTTTGCTTTATTTGTAGAAATGAATCATATCGGGCCAATATGAATCACGATTATAATATTTTAACTAAAATTCAGAACACAATGATAATTTTCGTTCAACAAAGCATGAAGCGTTCTTTTGTATCTCAATAAAAAAAACTACGCTACAAATATATCATACGGTGATATTCCGTGTTTACGAAATTGGTTAACGTTTCAATTCTATGGGCACCACCATATTGAAAATTTACGTGCGATATGGTGCACGCACTCAATAGTTCCACTTATTTTAATAAGGAATCTCTATAGGTGGCGCTGCCACATCATCATTGACATCGACTCAAATACTGTCAAATATAATAACATTGTTTATATAGGCTTTTATCGCAGTACGAAATATACCGCATGTATTCCCTGCGCACGCTGCGCTTATACCATATTCACGCTTATGCTTATTTTATACATAGTTTAATACAGAGTCGAAGGTATATTTAAGGCATATTTTTAGCGTGAACCGCATGCAAAGCATATGGATAGCATACGCTAAGTCAAAGTATTCTATACGTACGTTTTGCATGCGTTTCATACCTTAAATATAACTTCGACTCTGTATTAAACTATGTAGAAAATAAGCGTAAGCGTGAATATGGTATAAACGCAGCGTGCGCATGGAATACACGCGGTATATTTGTAGCGTAGTTTTTTTTTATTGTGATGTAGTTGTTTTGTTGTCGAATCGAATGGTAGAAAACGAATGATCCGCTGGGAATGTACGTGCGCACCAAAAATAAATACCACTGGATAAATTAAAACAATTAGTTGATGAAAACCATCTCATGATAAATGTAGTGAAATGAAAATCTGGCTACAAAAACGTCCATTCAATAGCAATGTGCAATGATCATGCAACGAAATTAAATAGATTTATCAAGATGAAAATGCTCGTTTGCATTTTTTTAGTTGTGCAATGTTTGAATAAACATATTGAAGCAAGGAACGGTCATTTCCGGGAAATTCGTTGCAGATAATAGAATGTGGACCGAATTTGATTTGAAAGTATCAGTTGAGTCAAGAGATTTCACCAAGAAATCCTATTTCGAAGAAACACCATTTCTAAGACTGATTCAAAGTTGATTTAATTGATAAGTTCGATGGCTTCGACTATAAAACACATTCGTTGTTTTGCTTGGCTTCAGAGTGAGTTTCACAGATGCAGTGGACAGTGGACAGTACACAGAATACAATAGCAAGATGAATCCATAGATTTTGTTTGCATTTTTATTGTTAGCAATCAGCCAAGTAAGTGAATTTCAATTGTGACAAATGTGTCAAAATGTTTAATCGTTGTTTTTTTCAAGGTTTATGATGTTGTTGGACATGAATATCCCGATGATGATGGGTGGCTCGAACCTATTCCCTAAAAATAGGTTTCGAATAAAAGCAAACCAATTATTCGTCGAGAGAACACATCCATCCAGGCTAACATCTTCACGCTGATTGATAGATGTCGTGTCGTCAAATATTCTATATTTAAATGTTGAATGATCGATATTGAAATGAAATAAAGTAAAATTCTCGAAATAAATCCAGTGTGCAATTTATTCTTTCTAGTTGTGGAATGTTCAAAACTAATTATTCAAAGCAGCAAGACAACAAAATATTTACATACAAAGGAAGCTTTGTTGAACGAAAATTATGATTGTGTATTGCAGTTAAATGTATGGTGATTAAAGCGTAGCAAGTAGAAAAAATAATAGAAATTGTTATGTATTAAGAATATTGTCTTACAGTTCCGAGTAGTTTCGAATATTTGAACCTTGGTTCTACAAGTAATTTATCAGTATCATTTGAAGTATGAATGAATTCTTATCAATAACAATCTCATTTCCAATTGGCTTTACGGCACAAATTGAATCTTCAAAATTTATTTATTATCAGCAGCTCCTACGAATTTTCGATCGCATTTTGTGAACGTGCAATAAATTTAATTGAAAAAAATCTTCGAACACATTCAATTCGTTGAAAGGTTGAACAAAGTCAAAGTTTTTTCTATAGGGTTTCTTTCAGAAATTGAGAATTCATTTGCAAAGAAAATGAAACAAAAACTACGAAAATAAAATTAAAAGCTTTTTTTTATATAGCATATAGTGTTTCGAACCTTTATTGTTGCATATAAAAACAAATAAAATCGTTTATGCAATCAAAGAAATGACATATCCCATTCAAAGGAAAACACAGTGTTCAGCGATTTATGGTTTACATAATCTGAAAATCTAGATTTTACAAATAAAATACGCATCCGGATCTAATCTAGATATTTTTCAGTATCTGAGGTGCACACAGTAGAATAATTTATTTTTCTTATCGAATTTGTTTGGGCTGTTTTGGATTCAATTTATTTTTAATTCTGAATTGAATAGAATAATGATAACAATGACTACGATGACAGTGAATCTGATGTCA